CTGGGGCGCCTTTCACAGCTGGGCGAGTGCTGGGCCGGCCCCGGGGCTGCGGCAGGACGAGCAAGGGGCTTCGTTGCTGCACCCCGGGGGGCGCTGGGGGCCCCGCGCGCGGCGCTGGCCTTGCCAGGGTCCTGGCTTTGTCTGATCAGAGAAAACCCCCAACTTCTGGATTAAAAAAAGGAACCTGAAATCCACAGTTTTTCATCATCAAAATTAGAGAGAGAGAGAGCTATCGATCTACACCGATACACAGATATACATCTATCTAAATCTATATATTACTGGTGCTTCATTTTGATTAGAGAAAATCCACATTTTTCTGTGATCAAAACTATGTATGTATATCTATATCTAGGGAGAGTAATGTATATAGACATATATCTGTGTATATATCCACACTTTTCCCTGATCATAAAGAAGCACCAGTAATACACAGATCGAGATGGAGATATATATGTCTGTCTCAGAGAAAACCAGGATCCCTGGTTGTTACTGAATGCATCGAGTCTGTTGGTGCATGACAATTGCTGTCTTCCAGCAGATGTCCGTGTCTCGTGTATCAGTGTCCCTGCGCGTCAAAAGGGCAGCGGGTGCTTTATCAAAAGCTCTGGGAGTATGGGGGGGAGGGTACTTTAATTAGAGTGGCTCCGAGAGCTGCTCTAATTAAAGCACTGCCACAACAAGGATTGGGCCCCTCGCAGCTACCCCCGCTGTCTGTCCTGAGGACTGGCGTGTGTCGGGTCGCCTTCCCCTAACTTAGCCCCTACTGCATCTGTGGGATGTTACATTTGTTGAAGTTTGGTAAAGTTAGAACATGCTGTGAGCATTTGCAGATTGAGGGTTAATGCCATTTCTTGCCTGTGCAGCTCTGACTTGCCGCTAGAGGCCTGGTGAGTAAGGGTATGGCTAGGAGCCAGGACACCTGGCCTCTAGTCCTGCTTGGGGTGAAGAGAGGGACTGGGAGAGGTGCATCCTGGGATGCTGGAGGACTGCATATTGCTCAGTTTATCTCCAGAGAGCGTGGAAAAATATCTGAAGTTACCCTAACAAGCTAGGCAGCATGGCCCAAGGTTAACTCACCTGAAGTGGCATGAGTTAAAAGAGTTTTTAGACATGGATGCTCATGTTTGAAGTGCCCTTAATATGATCTGAGTGTAACGTGTAACTTCCCCCTGAGATATTGTTCAAAAAAGAAGCATGTTCATAACAACTCTTAGGCCCTTATCTTGTAAACTATGCACATGATCAGCTGTGCTCAGGGCTTATCTTTACTGCTGTGTTGGATTGAACTAACACCTCTGTAGGCAGTCTGGCCCAAAGATAAGCGGTCACACCACAAAACTATGCTCACATTACACAGAGCCTAGCAACACAAACTAGTTGAATTCGTGTTACTTGAAAGTTAGCAATACTCAAATCTCAACCCACATATTCTGATGATCCAGCTAGCTTGAAGTTAAAGCAACATTTCACTCTATCCGGCAATCAGACTGAGCAGTGATGACAAGTCCTTGCTGAATTCATTCATTCAGTGAGATTTGATGTTTGTGTATCCCTCATAGCTAGGTAACAGACCTTGCAATCTCCCACCTGTTTAGGGTGATAAGAACTTGCTTTTGGGTGAACCTGCTCCAAATCCAAATTTCTGTAGAAGAGTAACAGAAAGCATTAAGATCACGCAGAGGTATTTTACATTTGCACCTTTCCCTGGTTCCCTGCAAATAAAAGTGATGACATTTGTAATAAGTACAGTAACTGCCATCAGATTTTAAGATACCATCCATGCGTTGCCTCTCGATCAGTTTTAAAAAACAGCCGTTGCAGCCAATTTGGTGAGCAAAGTGTCTTGTTCAGTGTAATTTTAAGCTCTAAGTTTAAGTTGTGGAACTTCCCCCACTTTCTACACCCTGATTTATCTCCTATCTAGGAATTTTATCCTGATAATCAGTCTAAAACGTCCCAATTTGTCAGTGTTGTGGCCACAACAAATGTTGCAAACTACTGTCGTGTGACTGAGGGGGCATGAGACAGATTTGGTGATTTTTCAACCATTTCCATGCCATAGTCTCATGTTCCCCCTTGAGGTTTAAAAAAAGGGAAAATGGTCATGACCCCTGCTTACAACCCGCTAAATATTTCGAACTTATTCTCCCACCCAAAAAAATCCCAGTTACCTTGCATTTATAAAGAACATGAAAATTTGAACAAAAGTCAAAGTATTTAAACAGACAAACATTTTTTTAGAAAAATAAAATGTTTTTAAATAGCAAGAACATCTCTTGCATTTAGGGAAAAGTGGATACTATTTTTTTTACAACAGTCTCATTCTATTTCCTTATTTAGAAAACTTAAACCTCAGTTGTATGATCTGATTTGCCAGGATCATCGCTATGACTATATAGAGTCCCATTAAAATGAATGAGATCTGCAAGGGGCAAAAGACTGCCCAAATGAATCAACACAGCACTGATGCCCTGTTTGCTATGTTTTCAGTAAAGCAAGAATGAACTTGGCTGCCTTGTGATACTGCTGTTGTGGATGAACCAGCATAATCAATATCAGTAATAATGTGCCCAACTCTAGAAATTCTTTAAATATTTTTTCTAAGCATTGAAGAGCTATTCAGGTGGTGTTTTGCTGTCATTCTAAAATGGAGAGGGGGTGGTGACAGTTCCATCATCTGCCTGTGTAGGTCTTTTAGGACACCTATAAACATGCTGGGGGGGTGGCGTTTTAATTAGAGAGGCTCCTGAAAATGGCAGTAGGGGCACTTTAACTAAAGCTCAGTGAAAGAGCTTTAGTTAAAGCACCTACACTGCCATTTTGAAGCACGGGGACGCTAACTACACAAGATGCTGCCGCACACTGGAGCGTTCTGATTAGAAGGCTCCAGCAGACTCGATGATTAATCAAGACCATGTCAGAGCACATGTTATGTGTCAGAACACATGTAAATAAGTGCCCTTAGGTTCCAGGTACAGTGTTGATACAATATGCAACATAATTTCCTTATTGGTGACAGAATTAAGAGCTTTTATGCCAGTGTAACTTATATCAGCTCTCCAAATGGAATAAGCTGGGAGTTGGCAGCCTCCCGTCTGCAGAGCCATTGAATTCAGTCTGCAGAACAGGGTAGGGGGCTTTGCCTCTGCCACACCATGACTAGGCAGCGGGAAGAAGCTGCGGACAGGTCCTAGCACCAGCCTGGCTTTGACCCAAACTGCAAACAGAAAATACTGCTGACCCCTAAAATAAGCTATACTGGCAAAAGGACCTTTTTTGATAATAAAACTACATCTGAACTAGGACTTTACAGTATAACTGTGCTGGTTAGGGAATGCATTTTTTTTCACTCTCTTAACTAACTGTGCCAGTAGAATTAAGTGTAGACCAGACTTGCATACTTTTCTTGTGTACTTACTGAAATGTGAGAAATTTGTGTGCAAAGGGGGGGACTGTGTACTATAACCTTTTCTTTTTTTTCCCCATGTGACAGCTGAATTACAGGTAGCAGAAGCTGTTGCTCTTGTAAATACCCTCCATAACTGGACAGTGTTAGATAAAATAATTCTTCCTACAAAAAATCTTGACCAGAAGCTTATTTTTGGGAAAGGAAATTTTCAAATTTTGACAGGTAAGAAAACCAAGGATGTCTTAAACAGAGTACAGAAGCAACTTTAGCTAAGATCAGTGCCAGTGCTGGAGAGGACTATGGGTATAGACAAAGATACACTTGGAGCAACGTCAAATAAAGAAGAACACAGTAATTGTTAGACTTTAATTTCTGTGCATGAGTGATGACAGGGAGCTAAATCGCCTCAGCTTTGCCCCTGAATGAAGCAGTGGTAAAGCTTAAGCAGTTTTGTTTCGCATGTATCACTACAGGCTCATGTACACCCACTGGTAACATCCAGTAATAACATTTACAGCTGCTGCCCAGTGCCAAGGAGCTCCCGATGTATATTTGTCCATACCCTAAAACTTTACCCCGTGGCCTGTTTATAGATGGGCTTCTTAGACACTTATTTCATAGATTTCATAGACATTAGGGCTGGAAGGGACCTCGGAAGATCATCGAGTCCAGCCCCCTGCCCAAGGGCAGGAAGTCAGCTGGGGTCATAGGATCCCAGCAAGATAAGCATACAGTTTGCTCTTGAAGGTGTTCAATGTAGGCGCTTGAACCACCTCTGGTGGCAGGCTGTTCCAGACCTTGGGGGCTCGGACAGTAAAGAAATTATTTATTATTAAAAACATGTAAAATGAATCAGAGGATAGAAATAACCACATCTCTGAGAAAATGTGATATATGCATTTATTTGAAGTAAAATTAAGTAACCAACTTATGTAGTGATGACAATTTGTATCATTTTTTTGACCCAGGTCAGTAGTGATTAATATTTAGTGATTGTCCGATGAGCTGTATGAAGCAAGTTATTTTTTTAGTGCAGTTCCAAATTTTCACGACATAAAGAAGCATCCCAGTTAGCATACTTGCTGACAATTGCAGCACATAATCCTATTTCTAGGCCCATTAAATACATAGGTTTATCATATTTCCTTGCATGCGACGTACCCCCAAATAAGACATGCACCTTCTTTTTTTCTGTTTTATGACTTGTAAAACACATTTCCAGAGTTATGAGTTCTGCTCCATGGAGCATCCAGGAAGTGTGGCATCCCAGGAAACAGTTTGAGTGAGGCAACAGAAGATTCCTTGTGTGGCAGAAAAGTAGCAAAGTTAGGCTCCAGATCTTTGCAAGGACAGTAGCAAGACTGTTGCTACTTTAGTATAAATAGTTTTTTATATGACTTCCTGTAAATAATAAAGTGTTACTTTCACATTACAAGCCTTATCAAGATACTGCAGACTTCAGGCAGCGGAACATTTGCCCTAAGCCAGTTCAGTTGTTGCTTTAGGCACAAGATACAGTGCTCAGCCAATACATACTGCAAATACCTTAGTGGCTGGGAGAGGGTTAATGCTAGGCTCTGCTTGCTGGAGTTAAGAGATCAGCAACAGTTTAATGCTAGTTTCTGCTTGCTGGAGTTAAGAGATCAGCAACAGCCATCCTGGCAGCCATTACAACATACCTTTTCCCTGCTTCTATGCTAGCAAAGAAAAAATTCAGCTTCCTTACTCAAGACATGCCTCCCAATTTTGGAGGGCTTGTTTTTCAGAAAAAGGGGCACACATGTGTGAATAAATACAGAATTCTTCCACCCTTTCAGCTAGTTCCTCTAGAATTTGCTTAAAGAAAATTGTCAGTATAGTACTTGAAAGCATGCACTGCTGCCAGTGAGGCATCTGGTCCAAGAACAAAGAATGTAGTTCTCTTTTGCTTAGTCTAGTGTTCCAGGAGCATACACTTGCCTTTAAAAAGACAAGTGTATGCACTTGTATGTATACACTTGCCATTAAAAATATATGTAAAGTATCATTAAAATAGTCTGTTTGCATGTGTTTGATATTGACCATTCCAAATTACACCATGCAATTCTCTATTTTAGAAAAGATTAAAAGATTACCCCAAGCAACAGCTGTCTTTTTGAATTTAGAAAGAATATCTACACTGACAAAGGTAAGTAAAATAATATTTAAATGTGTTCTTTAGTTTCCAGAGACTGAATTTGGAATGTAGTGATATAGAGGCCAAATTATGACTCAAAAGCTATACATGATTGGCATTCAAAGTCAATTGGACCAAGTTTATCCTGCACCCATTGACTGATTTCATTGGACATTGTGTCCTTTTCCTCCATGGTTGAATTTCACTTGTCAACAATCTGATAACCATTTAATCTGGGTTCTGCCACCAACTGTTAAATAAAATCCAAAATGAATCTGTAAAATGAATCTGATCTTTAAATATATTTGAATTTGTATGTGCTTCTATTTTTACACTTAAAACGCAAATGTTTTAAAGGGACAATATTTTATTACAGTCTATTAAAAACACCCTATGCCTGCCTTACTAATGAGCCCTTAGATTATTAAAACCCAAAGAATTTAAAATTTAACTCCATTGTTCACTTTTTGTCTGCTTTTATTGTTTGTACTCTATTTAGGACACTCAAAACTATGGGTTCTTGAACCTTTTATGTATTACAGGGATAAGTACTTTTAGAAATGCCTAGATAGACATCCAGATGTTCACATAGAAATTTCTAAGTCTCTCACAGAAACCCAGCCTGAGATATCTGTATTCCAGATGTGTGAAGAGAATGCTATTCTTTTACAAACAGGTTTTATATAGATTTTAAAAGATATGGATGGAGCTGGTAAACAAATTTCAAATTCCATTTTTTAACAAAATGTTGAGACAACCTTTCTCTCAACATTTTTTCACATTTTCCAGCCTTTCCCTATTTATGAATGTTTTCTGTTGATTGTAGGCTTTGTAACAACTTCTTGGATATAATTTAACCCAGCCCCGAGTCTTCAAAGTATTTAAGCATGTCTAATAACTTTAAGTACCTGAGTAGCTCCACTAATTTCAATGGGATTCCTTTCCTGTTAAACTATCTTCCTGAATTGGGTCTATTATCCTTTTGAATTAATGTAACCAGCCTATGTAAAACTAATAAAAATAAGTTTTTTACTCAGTTCTGGGGTGTTCTTTTCTGCCTTTATAAGATCCCTTCCTCATTCCCACAAAAGCCTATTCTTTCTCCCAAGAGTTAGTAGATGATTTCCTCAATGCATTTTTTCAGGAACATGAGTTGTCCTAAAAGCTTGATTCAGAATTCATTGAAGGCAACATTGGGCCTTGGATCAAAAATTTGGGAACAAAGTTGTTGCATCTGAACTTCACTTTCAGTTGGGATTTCACTTCTTACATGCTCTGGGTCTTAACTAGCCACCTGAACAAGAGCCTGAGGTCCTCTGAACCTAGGGCTTCATTGGCTACAGATACAGTTTAATATCATGAAACTGGTGCTTGCAGATTAACTGATAGACATTGTAAAAAACCTTCAGGTTATCTTATCTTACATTTTTAAAGAAAGAACTGGAAGATGCCTGGGGCGTGAAGGTTTTTGACAGATACACAGTTGTCCTTCATATTTTTCGTTGCAATGCTCGGACTAAGGAAGCAAAACTTCAGATAGCATTGGCTGAAATCCCACTTCTCAGGTACCTCAAGCTGCATAAATCAGGCATTAATTTTCTGATATATTAGTAAAGGCTTTTCTTCACAATGAGTACAATGGTAATGCTCTTCTTTAAGAAAAAATGCTAAGGTTGTTTATTGTCTAATATGCTTTTATGCATTTTGTACCATGACTACTTAGAACACATTAGAATACAGCTTTATTTTAAGCTTTTTACTGTTGACCAGCAAAAACAGAGAGTGTTCATTAGCTGTTCTTACCACATACCTTTCTAATGAGAATTATTAGTTCCTCCCCATCAAAGTAACCTACCAGGGACATCGGCAGCAAGTTTATTGATTGAACAATATGTGGCACATCTTTTAACAGACAGTCAAGGATAATAAACCAGTATCAAATACTGGTTGGTTTAACCAAGTAAGATTTAGCCAGGAAGGATGCAAGACATTTATTCTCTGCATTGTTTTATTTTTATATATTTTATTTTGTATCTTGCAATTTCTACACATAATGGAAGTCAGCAGGAGTTACATATGTATATGACTTGCCCCTTAAATTTCAGCTAAGTCCACTTTTCTGCTATTGTTATTTGCTAACCGTGGGGTTTTTTGGTTAAGAGCCATGGTTGAGAGGTAGGACATCTGGATTCCACTCCCAACAATTATCTTGGGGCAAGTTGCTTATTTTCTCTGTGCCCCAATTTCCCCATCTGTAATATTTAGGCTTTACAGCATACCCATGTTTGCAAGGTGATGTTAATATTCCTTTAATTAAAAGCCGACTGTACTAATATAAAGGTTATTCTTATTCCACTGCCAGATCAAATTTGAAAACTGAGGTATCTCATTTAGATCAGCAAAGAGGTGGATCAAGATACATCATGGGTTCAGGTAAAGTGTAAATACTTATGATAATTACAGGATAGCTATAATCTATAACCTTTAGAAACTTGTGTTTGTCGTGGACAAAGAAATTGAGCCAGGAACCTCACAATAAGCAAATCTGAGACTCCTGGTAAGGTTTTCTGAAAAAATTAAAGTTTATAGCCCTAGTAAAGTCCCAGTTTATACTAAACAATCAAGTTGCCATGTGCCAAGACTGAGTTATTTTTAATTAATATTTTAAAGCACATGAGGAAATGGTAGCTGCCCTTCAAGGTAATAAGCAGCCTAAATGACTGTAAGTTAGTTCTTAGGATTTTAACAGTCAACTGTAACTTTATCTTGTTTCTGTCTTAATTGAGCAACTGAATCCATGTATTCTTGGGAAAGCTTCAAATCCATATTATTAACTGTCATTGCCTGAGTAGTTCTACAATGCAATTTATTTGCTTCATTTCTGTTTTGGTTGCTCAATCACTTACTAATTTGTATTTTTCAGGTGAGACTTTCTTGGAGACTCAGACTCGTCTCTTGAGAGAGAGAGAATTAAAAATTAGGAATGCCTTGGAGAATTTAAGAAGAAAAAGATCTATACTCAGAACTCAGCGTCAAAAGCGTGAGTTCCCAGTGATCTCAGTAATGGGCTACACTAATTGTGGTAAGAAGAAATTCTTGAAATTATTACACAAAAGTAATTTACATTTGTAATATTAATTAGAAGCTTTTCAGCATGGTATGGGCTTTATATTTTATTCGACTTCATTGTTTAATAAATAGTAGCGAAAAAAATTGTTAAAAAGATGAATAACGCTTGCTGTTTGTTTGTGAGACCTTTTGCATTGTTACAGCCATGTTTTGCTCTGGATAAATTCCTAGCTTCTAGTCCCGGCAATTGGTGGTCTGCAAACACTACTAAAGGATGTTAGGTTTCTCGACACATGTTCTTATCACTGGTCAAAAGAGAAAGAGAAATTATACATTTTGAACCTCTGGGCAGGAAAATGGCCTTGTGATTGATGCACAGAACTTCAGGTCTGGAGGGTTGAATTCTGCTCCTGGCAGTGCCCTGGAAATGTGTGAAATAGGTACTTCCCTACAGGGCTGCTGTAGGATTTGATTAATGCATAGTGTTTTGAGAGTTGGAAACAAGAGGTGCAGAGCAGTGGCTTCTCTTCATAGAATGTTTGTGCTCTACTTTCTAAGTACGAAGGAGACTTTATCAACTTTAATTTGTTTCTTGAGATAGTATCTTTGGGTATTTCCAAACTAAATTATTTTTAGGCCCTTGTATTTCTGTCCCTCTTCAACATCTTCATAAGGAAAGACTCAAATGTTAAACAGATACTCTATTTTACCACTTTGGTAATACAAAAGCCAATATGTTTCTCTAACCAATTAAAGTCTAAGATTAATGCAGAGTTATAATTTAGAAAAAGATACCTACTTTGATTATACAAAATCATGCTTCACACATGAATGAAATATCTTGAACTAAAATACATGCCTGGCCATGTCTGCAAATGCTATGAAAATAAATTTTAGACTATTACCAGAGAAAGATTTCTTTATTACAGAGTCCACAGCATAAGAGCTATAAAGCACATATATTTTGTGCTCCTAAATACTGTGAGGTTAACTGAGCTTGAGATTCGAATTCTGTCTGCACTGTGTCAAAACAGGATTCTTAATGCTGCCACACCGGTGTCTCAAGGGACATTGGACCATTCCTGC